TATATATACATACATACATACATAAGTGTGGTGTGTGTGTGTGTGTGTGTATGTGTGACGGTTTAGACACGTGATGCATTGTCTCCAAAACGTGCATATAAAAATGAGACTTTAAATAAACTGATTGTTACAGCTTTTATAACATATTCTTTGACTGCTCTTGGCCTTGCAAACTACAGCAATTTATTAACATTATTTTTTTGTATTTCATTTAGGTCAATTAATTTTAATTTCAGCAGGTGGTATCACACTCGAACAGATTGAACATGGACTGAACAGTGGTAGATCCATGATTTAAACGTCCCTATGTCACAAAATATTTTTTTTCATTGTAAATAGCTGTGTTATACTTGGTGAGACTGTAGAACTTAAAGAAATATACATATTTTTTATTTTTAGTAATTGTTTGTATTTACTGTTAACATATACAGTTTTATGAAACAGCCTGAGCTTGTTAATATTAAAAAAAAAATCACCGTAATTTTCACAATAATTCTAATAATGTTTTGACATTTTGTTAAAATTAAAAGTACGGTATGTTTTAGGTAATTAATATACACTTGCAAATCGCAAATTCAAAAGAAAAAAGCAGGAAAGATTGTCATTCATACAGAGTTATTATGTAAATTGTAAGGTGATTAATTGTAGATAATGTTACAGATTTTTCCTGTTGTTTTCAAAGACAATGTGCAATATGACAGTAAATTAATTTATTTTCAACATATTAGCAGTGTAGAACTAAAAGCAAATAACCGTTTGTCAATATACAGAAATTTAATATAGATATTACAATCATTTACTCTTTTTGGTGGCTTAATGAGATGGTGTCTGTGGCCATGATGGAACAGATAAGATTTGATAGAAAAGCGAAACTGGTGAGTTTTTGTACGATTTGGCAGCCGTATCTAGAATTCTTAAAATCTAATTGATCATAATTCATGCTTCTTACTCTGTGTGAATGTTCTTATTTTATTTTATTTTACTTTTTATTTAGTTAATATTGTTATAATTTTTTTCTTCTCTCTCCTTTTTTTTCTTTTCTTCATGCTTATAAGTTCATATATGCCAAATGTAGTAATTGTCCTCAATTGAATCTGTATAAACATGTTGTGTTTAATTTAAAAGCAAATTTATTCATTTTTTTAAAAAGAGTCTGACGACATAGAGTTTGGGCTCATCACTCATACTGATAACATCTCCCCCTCTCATTTGATAAAGAAACACTACTAGAAGCTGCTATCACAGCCACATCAGGCTAAAGACAGGGTTTTCTTTACTCTTAGATTTTGTGCACTTTAGAGCACATTTCATGCAGCAAACATGAAGAATTCACATTTTGAAATGTTCTCCTCCTGAAAGAAAAACTCTTACAAATGCATGTCCCACAAGGCCGGCCTCCAAAATCCCCGTCTACACCTTTCAGTCCCAAAGCTGACCCTGCTCCTCTTTAGGAAATCCTGACAGCAGCGCACACGCACACTGTGTCTGTGATGAAGTCACAAACACACACCTGGAGAGTCCAGTGTGCTGTAAGCAGGAAACAACAATGAAGTCATGTGACTTTGACCTCCTCTTTAATACAAAAACATATGAAGGCGTAAATTATCTGTAGAGACCAAAGCAGTTTGTGTATCAGGCTGGAAACATGGGAGACTATGGGGACTGACTCACTGCTGCCTCTGCTGGACGTCAGAGGAACTGCAGGAATCGGCTTCATTGTTGTTGTTTTTGTCTTCATCCGTTCACTGAGCTCATTTTGACTTATTTCACTGTTCAGGACATTCCTGATGTGTCCTAATGTTACACTAGCAGTGACAGGAAGTGAACTATACCCTGCTCTTCAAATATAAAAGCTCTCTTTAATCAGAGTGCAGCATTGAGTCTGTGAAACTTCTGGAATATTGATCAGTTCAGGTAATCAGTCACACGCTGTTTGTTGATTGAGGGTGGCTCTGGAGGAAAGGTCAGGTGTGTCTGAGGCTCCTTTAAAGGCGGTAAAAGTGAGCTTTAATGGGAAAGCTGCTGTGCTAGGTGGCTAATGTGAGGCGGAGGGCAGAAGCTGGAGGTCTGGATCGGATCCACATGAGAGAAAAGCAGGAAAAGATTTGGTCTGAGTAATTCCTTTGATTCCAATCAGCGCATTCATTAATCATTAGTATCCACATTAAACATTAAGCACTGATTCATCCACTGAGGTTCAAACTGCACACATACATGATATTTATCTTATAAAAACATGTTTATTATTCAAAGATGTTTGAAAGCCTTTCCAGGTGACTTTGATCCAGGAGGATCTGAAGCCAGAGTCAGACAGAGACTGTGCAGAGACTGTAGAAGGACAGAGCAGCAGCAGAGCAGTCCAGATACACTGATGATCCTCTATCAGATCCAGAGGGACACACAGGGATGATGCTGGACTCTACATTGTGTCTGACAGTGGAGCTATTCTCAGAGCAGTTCACTCTGCAGCACTAACAGTCATCTGCACTTCTTCTCATTCCTCTGTCAGTCACTGCTGGATGAAGCTCTCATCTCCACTCCACCTCCAAATAACATGGCCCAGTCAGAGCGTCTCCACACACAAGCAGCTGCTGCTTCAACCTCTCTGGATCATCAGGACACAGCTGCTCCTCTCTCAGCACACACACCGCCCTGTTTACCATCATGGACTCCACCTGCAGAGAGAAGAAGGAAGAGCAGAGGAGATAAACAAGTGCTTCCAGAGACTCTTCATCAGCTTTCAGTCAGTGATGCAGCACATCCAGTATAAAGAGCAGCAGGGACTTCAGTGCTGGGACTGTACTAGTACTAATTGTTGTTTCACTTTTTCTAATCTTTGGATTTTAATTGAAGTTGATGAAAATGTGTTTGACTCCTAGTTTTAGTTTGAACTTTCATTCATTAGAATATCTACACTAGTTGATTTTGTTCATCTGGACGTAGCATTGGTCCACCCCAAGGATCGGGTCCCCCGACACAAACAGAGTAACATAGTGTACGCTCTTAAGTGCCAGGAGGATTGCAAGGATTTATACATCGGGGAAACCAAACAAGCTCTGGCAAAGCGGATGGCACAACACAGAAGAGCCACCTCATCAGGCCAGGACTCCGCAGTCTATTTACACCTACAGGCCAGTGGACACTCTTTCAATGATGAGGATGTACACATCCTGGACAGGGAGGAACGCTGGTTTGAGTGAGGAGTCAAGGAGGGCATTTACGTGAAAAGGGAAAGACCATCTCTGAATAGAGGATGATTGACCATGCATTAATACATCTGATAGGGATGTTTAAACAATGGCTCAGAGCAGTTCTGTCCACTCTGAGCTCTTTAGGAACCCCAACAATCCAGATGCAATGGTTCCTTCTGTTAACTGGAGAAATTCCATCCATGTCTATATGGGTCCACACCAGAGAGTGTTAATTTAACTCTTTTTGGAGAGTTGGTATGTTAACTCTGATTTAGTGTTAAACACCAAATCTATCTGGAGTTTATAATTTAACACTTACTAATGCTAACTAGGTGTTAAGAGTTTATATATTAACTCTCAAAGAGTATTTTAGTTTAACTACATAAGAGTTATCTTCTAATTAATTCTAAAAAGTGGAAATTTTACTGTTCTGAACTTCTAGAAATTCCTTTGGAAATAAACATTTATTAAAAAGATGCAATGGTTTTTGAAAAACATTTATTCTGAACTGTGCATGACAATTTCAAAACATTTTCTGAAAGATGTAACAATGTACATGTTCTCACTTTCATTAGAATTTTGTTTATCAAAAGGTCTGACATAGGTGAGCTGGTAAATGCAAATAACAGCATTCTCATCACTTATTTCTTCAATACAATATGCATGTCCTTCATTCATCACTTTGTGGAACTTCAACGCACTTCTGCTGTCCCCCATATTCCACCTTCATATTCACAGCATATTCTGTGTGGAGATTGATTAAAAATGTATTAAAAATTAGTTGACACTAATTAATTGCACAAATACTCTGGTAATCAATTGCAGCACAGTAAAAAAAGAATCATTTTTGAGCCATTACTTGTGTAAATTATTTTCCCAAAAGACAAGGAGACAGGCAACAGGTAATACTGAACTAAATGTAAAACCTCAACCTTTTTCATTTCTACCTAAACCGTGTGCACAAAACTCTGGAGGGATCTAAATGCTAACGTAGAACCCAGTCAGGACATCTGCTACTGCTGTTTGCTCGTTTTTTTATGGGAGATCGTTTTCAGGCTTCAAGTAGCACCCTTATACCAACATTTCACATTCTAGACATTGTTTAGGTGTATTTAAGTTGACCAAACATTTGACTGAAAATTCACATGTAAGCTATTTTTCAACAGAATATTATGCTATCAGCAAGCAACATGGCTAATGCCTTTCACACAGCTTTGTCTCAACTCCAAAGAGCCACAGAAGTAAAAGCTAATAATAATAATTGAAACAATCTTTGAAAAAATGACTTACCAAATATGGCAAACAACTCAAATATGTAGAGCAAAATGTTTTAAAACGGCTTCACTTCAGCTTCATTTGGAGCCTATGGTGCTGGGGGCGGAGTCTGTGAATTTATTCTATTAGTGTCATAGCCCCTCTAAGAGTTTGGAGTTAAGAGGTCAAGAGTTATTGTTTCCATTTTAACACCTCCAGATTTGACATAGAAACCCTCATTTTTAACACTCGGTTTTAACTACTATCATTTTACACCTCAGAGTTACATTAAAAGAATGTGACTCTACTTAGAGTAAAATTAACTCTACTTTTGCAAGAAGACTACTAACACCAATACATTTAACACTTTTGAATTTGCTGTGTACAGACTGTGTTCTTCACTGCTTTAAACTTGGAAATCAATGCAGTCATTGGACTGCGTGCTACTTTGTCCGGAGAGCTGATTGGCTTTTGACAGTGTTTAGTCAGAGTGTGTGATCCCAGCACCACTCGCTCACTCCAACACTCTACTGACCTCAGAGTCTCCAGTCTGTAGTCTGGACTCTTCTCAAGACCAGACAGCTGCTTCACATCTGAATCCTGTAGGTTGTTTCTCGTCAGATCCAGCTCTCTCAGATGGGAGGCGTTGAACCTCAGAGCTGCTGCCAGATAATCACAGCTGATCTTTGACAAACCACAGTAACTCAGTCTGTTAAAGAATGAAAGATGTAAGTTTATTAGACAAAGTGTGAGCTTGAAATCATTCAGTGTTTCATAATCTGTTCAGAGCTGAAGAAGGTTCACAATGTAGAAGTTTAGAAAATGGAAACTCCAAACAGTTGAAGCCAACAGGAAGCAGCTTCAAACAGGAAACTGTGCAGAGTTTTCAGACTATATGCCCCGATGCAGCCAGTTTGATTTTGGAGATTTGAATCTCTGTTCTGTGACCACGTCCTTGAATCATTTCTTCCAGTTTGTTCAACAAGACAGATTAAGTATTCGACATGTGTTGTGGCTCCATTAGGGGAGCTTCTAAATGTGATGTGATGGCCCCTTTGGGTCTGTCAGATCACAGTACTGCGGAGAGCTCAAACTTAGGACACAGTTTGTTTGTGAAGGTTCTCAGTCATCCAGGTCATCGTAGTCTAAGGAGCTTGGAAAGAAAAGCGTTTGGACTTATTTAAGTTGCTTGAAGATGTTTCACCTCTCATCTGAGAAGCTTCTTCAGTTCTAGGGTCAAATTGTGGTGAGTCCCAGATTTAATCCCTGTGGGGGTATCCCCCCAAGAGGGACAAAAGGACCCCCTAATGATTCTCTACCTAATCACACATGAGCCAAGGTGTGAAGACGTGGGGGTCACAATCAGCCAAGGTTTCAGGTGAGCTCAACTTTACCATGAGGATCCTCAGTGTGGATCATGTCGGGATGATTTATGATTTGGGACAAATTATGGTAATAATAGTGAGTTAATGATTGGAGAAAACCTGCTCATGATACTTGTCTGTTGTGCTGAATACTTTATTGCTCTCATGATCTATAGTTGGTTGTAAATAAGACGTTTGATTTAACGGATTTGTTTTGCAGGATACAGGCTCCAGGTGGAGCTGGGAGTTAAACAGGCTTAACATGTAATTGCTGACTAATGTTTTTACACAAGGTTACAGGTTGGCGAGAGATTGTTTTAGAGAGAAAATGTGCAACATTCTTGTACATGTCTCAGTGGGGAGTTGAAACATGGAGGAAGCCATGTGCAAGAGGAGGGTCATTTTTAATTTGTAGGTGTCATGAGGTGCCATGACGAGAAGTGAGTAAGGAAGGGCGCCTACAGGATGGAAGCGGAGGCCAGGATAGAGGCTTGAGGAGGATCAGTGATTGTGTTAAGGAACAGCAGACATAGCACAGAGAGCTATGATACTGAGCGTCCAGGACATTGAGAGGAGACTTCCCACAGCAAAGTTTGAAATAAAATGAGAGATTCATCGTTGACATTGAGGAAGACAAACTAAGGTGTACGACGTGCTCTGCCTTAAATCTTCAGCAGCGTTGGAACATGAGAACCTGAGGGATGAAGGGAGCGTACCAAGCTCCAAAAGTGACGGCTCGTACCACAACAGCAGTCCAGTTGAAGGGGACAGGCGGGACCTGGTTCCATTGGTCTCAGTGTGACAAGCTCATCTCCAAATGACAAAGGTGGCAAGAAAGGAAAAGAGGCAGAATAAACCCTCTGACCCGTGCAACGACTAACCAGTAGTCGACCTGGGAAGTTGAAGTAAGAAGAGGAGGATCGCAGAACCTCACTTCACTCAAAGAGGAGGTGGCTGAGTGGCCCGAGGAGTGAGACAATAAGAGGAGTGTTGGCCTTTTTCAAAAGCCAAAGAGGAGGAGTGTCGGGATGAGAATATTATTTTACTGTTACTATTCATAACCATTATTACTACTGTTGCATCACTTATGATTTATCATTATCATTTCATCAGAGCATTTATTGAAACTGTTGATGTTACATTAAAGTCTGTATTTCAGGTGTGAGCTGAATTACATAATAATCTTTCATTGCAGGTGCAACTGTAATCATGTTATACACATGTTGCATTTTTGTGCTAATTAAAGAGTTGAAGCTTGGCCAAGTTAATTAATGGTCTGAAGCTTCGTCCGACGCGATGTTCGACCGATCTATTGAGTAAAGTGACCCATAGCTATTGAAAGGATTGCATACGTGCTTACAATTCACCACATATTATATAGAAATAGAATAAAGGCCTTTGTGCCCTCATGTTGTATTGGAGTCTGCCTGGTAACACATGACTCAAACGGAGTCAGGAAGTATGCTTCTGAAATGTCTTTGTTTGTCGAGTAAGGTCATACACTGAGGTCAAGATACACACAGGGTGCCTGCGCACACACATATGTAGTATGTTTTGCTCGAAACGGTAAGTTGTTTTACCTGCATACGTGACAGTTTAGTTCCACAGATAAGTGAAGTGCAGTAAATTAAATAACAGGAAGCATCTGGCGGTGCTGGAGGAACAAAGGAAGGAACTGTTCTTTTTTAGAATATGTCCTAGGTCCAAGAATTACTGGAACTTATGCATGTTGATTATCTTCTTGTGACGCACTATTTTTCGTATATATATGACACCCCATTTATTGTTCTGGGAAAATTGATGCTGTTTGAGTGATCGTGCTCGGCTTCCCACATATATATGTGCTTAAATAAAATCATTGTTTGAAGCACAATGGACCTCCAGTCGTCTGTCTCATACCTCAAATCAAGAATCAGGACAATCAGTATAATATCCACCTTATGTCTGCAATTTAGTGTTAGCACAACTTTTACATCATATTCATCTCAGCAAATTGGTGACTGACCCCAGAGTTTCAAGTCCACATCCTGGACTCTCCAGAAAACCACACAGCTGCTTCACTCCTGGATCCAACAGCTTGCTGTTCTTACTCAGGTCCAACTCTCTCAGATGGGAGGGGTTGGACTTCAGCGATGCTGCCAGATAATCACAGCTGACCTCTGGCAAATCACACACCTTCAATCTGTATAAAGAGTGAAAGATGTAAATTCATTAGACAAAGTGTGAGCTTGAAACAATTCAGAGTTTCATGATCTGTTCAGAGCTGAAGAAGGTTCAGAATGTAGAAGTTTAGAAAATGGAAACTCCAAACAGCTGAAGCCAACAGGAAGCAGATTCAAACAAAAACAAGTTTTAAAAAATTAGTTTTTCACATTAAAGTTGTACATTTATCATAAAAACATGAAACAGACTTGAAAATCTGTGTTTTTCATTCAAGGAACTACGTAGCTTCACTTTTAAAGGTGAACAGTGAAAGAAATTCACATATTTGAAATCCACCAACACCTTTTTCCAGTCACATTATTAAAGCAGACAAACTACAAGCTCACTTTCATTCCAACACAGAAGGAAAATGAGCTTCTGACCTGGACTGACAACACTGGTCTCTATGTGCAGGTGGCTGTGAGACCAGTGCTCAGGGAGCGTCTACAAGGTGCAACACTGAAAGAACATCACACACAAATTTGCTCCCAGCACTTTTGCACAAACGTCTACTGTCATTATTTTCACCAAACTCTGTGGCTCCTTTATTGCAGGGGTGTCAAGCTGAATTGCACAGGGGGCAAAAACTCATGGCACACTTTAGGTCGCGGGCCATACAAGATAAACATTTATTGAACACACTAAAACAATGTTTTTTAAACATAAATATTGTTAAAAGATTTTGAATTTTATTAATTTTCGACAGTAATAAATGTTTATGTTTAGCTTTATTTGAATTGCACAGAAATGCCTGTACATAGCGTGTCAGCAAATTCTTTAACTGGAACAAAGTGATCACATGAGGAAGTTGCTCAAGTTTAGACAACACCCACATGTATTGTTTTAACCCACTACAAGATCGTTAATCAACTTGTTCCTCCTTGTCTTGCAAGGCTGCATCCTGTGCAGCCTTGTATGCAATCACCAGATAAGAAGTTGTTTTTTCCTAACTTGTACTCCACCCATGAGTGTTACGTGAGTAGGACAGTATATAATAAAGTCTGAGCAGATGCCTGGCGCGCATTTCTGCACTGACTCTGTAGTTGACAGATCGTGCACAGAAATCGTCCATGTACATCAATTAACTCTGGGCCCGTGATTCTTTGCTTTCCTGAGGTTTTTCTCCTTACAAATATGAATAAAAACAGACAGGAATATTATTCCAGATTAAATAAACTTAAAAGAAATAACTTTAACTTTAAATATTTTGCTCTTCATAAAAATATATCCTCTCAAAATTATGCAAGTTAGAAATATGAACATGCTTCCAAAAACCCCAGAAAAAAATAAATGAAAGCAAACACAAGGTTGGAGCCGCATGTAGACGGAGCTGGGCGTTGCTTCAGGAATGGAACTAATAAACTGTGCGGGCCATTCAGAGTAGTACTTTGCCCTGAGTGTATCATTACACTGCCGCTCCATCTGAATCTGCACAGGTGCAGTTCAGCAAAGGGGGGGACAAAACGCTTGGACATTGCTAGCATGGGGCGTCTACAGAAACGCAAAGCAGGAGATGAAGCATTGCTGAATATGTTTCCAAACCAGTTTTAAAAAAATCTCAGTTTTCGGCGATTCGAAACGCAGTTTATGTGTGGACGAAACAGCTGCGTTTTCAAAAATACCCGTGTAGGTGTGGACGTAGCGTAAAAGAGTTAGTAGTTTATTTTATTACTACCTATCATTTATTGCAGATTACTTGTATTTGCTTAATTGTTTACTAAATGTTTGTGTCACGGTTCTGGGTCAGTTTCGACCCAGTATTTTGAGTTTTGATTGTTAGTTTATTTTTGAATGATTGTTGTGGTTTTGGGCGCTACGGGTATTATTCTTATAATGATGATTATTATTAGAATTCTATGTTTCTGTTTATTCATGTTTAAGGATTTTTTCTCGGTTGTATCTCACGTTTAGTTTAGTTCAGGTTCCATGTGTCATTCTCTGTCTGTCTGTCCCTCAGTGTCAGGTCTGCGTCTTGGTGTAGTGTTCTCGTTTCCTGTTTTATTGTGAAGGTCTGCGTCTCATGTGAGTGTGTTTAGTTTTACCTCTGTCTCGTCTTGTTGATTATTCCCAGCTGTGTCCCCCACCTGTGTATAATTCCCCTGTGTTTCTCTGCGTGTATTTAAGTCGTGTCCTCTGTCATTGTAGTTGCTGGTCCGTCTGTGTATCCACCGTGCGCCTTCTGTGTGTTTTCCCTGCCGTCACCATCTTGTACCGTCGTCCACCTTGCTTTCTGTTTGAGTTCCGGTTCGTATTCAGTGGTTTAGTTGTCTCCAGTATAGTTTAGTGTGATCTGTTTCCGTTTTTCCACTGGCGCATTGTGTTAAATAAACCACCTTCACTCCTCCACTACTGCCTGCGATCCTCATTTATTATTTTTATACGGCTCATCTCACTCGCCGTGACAGTTTGAGGTGCGCAATGGAGCAAAATATGGGTGTTTGTGGTTGGAGGATGTGTATGTGCGTGTGCGTGCGCGCGTGCACGTGCGAGAAAGGGGGGGGGGGCGCGAACATTTTTCTTGTAAACAAAGGGGGGCCTAGTAAAAAAAGTTTGGAAACCACTGGATTAGCTGAAGACTTTGCTGGGTGATTTGAGGACTTCCTGATAATAATGAATTACAGTAGTCCAGCCTAAAAGTAATAAATGCATGAACTAGTTTTTCAGCATCGCTCTGAGACAGGATATTTCTAACTTCAGAGACATTGTGCAAATGGAAGAAAGCAGTCCTACATATTTGTTTAATTTATGCACAGAAGGACATGTCCTGGTCAAAAATGACTCCAAGGTTCTGGGTCAGACTGCTGAATATGACTGAGCAGCTCTCTGATGGAGCCTTAAACGCACCACACTAAGTTACTACCACACATCCACTATGATTGGTGGAGTCAACTTTCCCACAATCATCACTTCCTGTGGGTTTTACTCAATAATAATTCATTCTTAATAGACAGTTTTACTTTGTAGGTTTTCTTCTTCCTGTGTTCTTCAGCTCTTTGTATCTGCTAACGTTCTCATTATACTTTCTTTTTAGTTGATTTCATTCACCATGTTTGAATTTGAACTCTTCCAGTGGCTTTTAACCGATTCCCACACTTCACCTTCTGATTTCTGCTGAACTCTTAACCGTAGCATGTTTTTAATGTCACTGTTGAATCCATTCAGCAGATCCAGATCAGTCAGAAATGTGATCTTTCATGTCCAGTCAGCTTTGAGGTGGCTGGAGCCACACATGATAGAGGCTTTCAGCAGCATGTGATCAGAGTAATCAGTGGTTTCCATGGTTACTGTGCTCCAATAAAAATGACATCCTGTTCATTGTGATCATGTCTTCATCAGTCGGTACCAACACTCAGTGAAGATACAGAATTCTTCTCAGTGTTTTACTTCCTGTTGGATACAATGCTGCATACTGAAAATTGCTTCATGTACAAACACACAGTCACTCGCACAGCTTCAGGTTTTAGATACCAGCTTAGCCCAAAAGGAACCATATGTGTAAGTTCAATAACAAACATCTGTCGACTTCCTGGGTGTTTTGTGGCTAATGTTGACATCACTTCCTCTTTGTCATATTGCTGAAATCACTGGTCTAACTATCCAACTATCTTCTGCAGCCTTCTTCAGGCCAATCAGCCTCCACTGCGCATACTTTAAATCTCACGGCTCATCTGTCTTTCTCCCTGCATACTCTTTCTTCCAACCCTTCTCCTCCACGTCTCTACCTTTCCCACGCTACTGTGAGAATATTACACTTACTTATGCTACATTATACCTTTAATCAAAGAATTGTTGAATTATTATGTGGCTATAGGCCACATTATACCTCTGATTAAAAACTGTGAAATCAATTTTGAATTTAGAAGAATGTGAAAATTATTAGATTTATTACACTGATTCACATTACATTGTACTGCTGATTTGCTGTGAATGAATTACACTGTTTTATGGTACTTTATACTGCTGATTTAAAAAGTAATACTATTTGCAAAGAATTATGGCCTCGCTTTTCTGATTAGAAAAAGCATAGAACATGCTGCGCTGGAGATTTTCCCCCACCTTAGACAGAAGGAGAATAACAGGAAGCCAAGGTCGTAACTTAGGCTCACTGAGAGATAGAAAGAATGTGAATGTTTAATTTTTATGATTTTGAAGGGGAGCCAAGGCTATAAGAGTTTGAGTAACGGTCCAACATTTTGAGATCTGTCGGAACACTCCTGTGCACAAGGCTCCATCCAAGCCTCCATCTTCATCTCCATCACCAGTGTCTAGACTTCAAGGGTCCTGCCTACCTTCTCTCACAGCTGAAATCCATTCAGCCGGATATAACTGGGATGGTTTGAAAGTTCCTTTGAGACAGGGACTCTGGTCGGAGAGCAGCCAGAGAGTTAGTTACAGATCTACTTTAATGAGTCCTAATTGGGTGAACCAGAGGTAAGTATCATGGCAAATAACATACCAGCTGAAGGTAGTAGACAGTGACCCCACAATTACCCGGAGACAGAAACAAACTGGGATCCAATCATCACTTTCACATTAGTTGGCTCCTTATCTCCACTTTCTAATGAGCCACACAAACTTCAGCAGAGACACAAACACTGACTGTGGCACAGTGTTGAAGGGGTTAGCAGTGTGGCCTCCAAGCAGAGGGTCCTGGGTTTGAGTCCAGCTGACTGACATTCTGTATCATTTCCTTATTCATAAAGTCAAGACTTCATCTGCAGACATTTACATTTATACAAAAACTAAAATCATAGTTTAATATTAGTGAGCATTACCCAGCATGCCATTAAGCATTCATGTCAGTTTGTAAATGTGAAGTAATTCCTACTCTAAACTTTTTCTGTTTAACAGATTGCTGTGGACCATGACCTTTGACGTGCTAAAGACAGTCAGCTGTGGATTATTCATTGTTGTGTCTGATACTTAGAACTATTAGGAAGAACGGTATACAATTAATCAGGGACCCCTCTCTCTGAATTAGAAAAGGTCGGCAGGCTGGTCTGCATCCTGTGGAGGGCCACGGGCCGTAGGTTGAGTATCACTGCTTAATATGTGAACATTGTTCCTCTACAGTCAGTGGACTAAAGCAGAGAAGAAGAAAACCGATTTTACCATGAAGATCCTCAGTGTGGATCACTGTAATATCAGCCATGTGTCTGCAATTTAGTGTCAGGACAACTTTCACATCATATTCATCTCAGCACAACTAAAA